CGCAATCTGTGCCTGTGAGCGTGCTGCGCGAGCCGAGATGATGTGTGTGTGCGTAGTCGAACCTTTTCATATTTAAGTTTGTAGCAAGTAGAGGGCTGCTGCTGTGTGTGTGTGTGTGTGTGTGTGTGTGTGTGTGTGTGTGTGTGTGTGTGTGTTTGAGTGTGTGCGTGTGCGTTAGTTTTAAAGACCCCCATAGAGCTCAGTTTATAACTCGAACCCTGCCGCACACACACTTCTGGTGCCCGCGCTACAAAATAAAAGCATGAAGAGAGAGAGAGAGAGAGAGAGAGAGAGAGAGAGAGAGAGAGAGAGAGAGAGAGAGAGAGAGAGAGAGAGAGAGAGAGAGAGGGGGGGGGGGGGCATACAGTATGTTTACATCACATTTAACTGATGTCTTTATCCTAAGCGACTTACAATGAGCCCAATGAACCACGAGGATGTATATTAAAATGTAATTGAATTGTTGTAATTTTCATTTTAATATTTTATTTTTCTTAATACAAATAAATAATATTAAAAAATAATTAAAAACATTGTTTTTGTTAATTCAAATCAATAATTACAAATAATTATAATGCCAATTTGTTTTCCTTTGTCAAAGTCGTTAGTAACGTCCCACCTCTTTCATCTAATTCAAAGTATTTCATCTAAAACACTTTGAAGAAACAGTTTCACAAACAAGATCTCGAGGGATATTCAGCAGCATAACATGTATTTATCTTTAAAGGTGGGGTAGGTAAGTTTGAGAAACCGGCTCGAGATACACTTGTTGTTATATTCCATGGAATGCTCTTAACATCCCGATAGCAATGAATATCTGAAGTGCTTTGACAAAAAAATCCATAAATAAATATCATCAGTGGAAGCTGTAGTACTGTAAAAAGCACGACCAATCATCTGAGCCGGCCCGGCTAAAATAACTGGATGGCCTACCTGCCTGTCAGCCTTCCATCTGTGCACAAACTGATCTCGTGCCCTCATTGGTCATGTGCGCGTTCGTGTGTGTTGGAGGAGGGGCTCTGTGAGGAAGTGGCAGATTTTCTCCGGTTGTGTATTTTCTAATTCTAGCGCACTCGAGCTGGTTTCTCAAACTTACCTACCCCACCTTTAAGTTGAACAAATATAAAGACCAATATCTTTCATTATCTGAGCATCTTTCTTTTGCGAAAAACAACGTTAAATAATATATTTTTCAGAACTTCCTGAAAATCTAATTCTCCTCAGGCCACGACGAAGACATAAAGCTGCAAACTAACTGCTGCGTATAAAAACATTCAAAGAAATACTTATTAGTAATACGCTTTAATGTTATTTTCATATTCTTTAACCACCTTTATTCCTGATCATAAAAACAAATATGAATATTATAAGATATGAAAGAAACCGTGAAATCCATTAATGATTATTTTCTGTTTACAAAATGCTTCTGGGATTTTGTACTAAATTATCCTATTATTTTATTATTCTATTGTGCAGGAAACAGAAGAGTAGGATCTTTCCTTAAAGTGCAAAAACATGACAGACTGTTTGTAATAGTTTCATATATTGTTATTTATATGTGGCATTGTTTCGTTGTGACTCAAACCTTTTCATTGAAACAGATCTCTATAACTCCTCACCCTTCAGTAAAGAGACCTGACAACTTCCACCTCTATGTGCAAAATAAATACCATCATGACTCTCTCTGCTATATTACATGTGCAATGTTATTAATAATGGTCAATAATGACGTTCTTTTGCACGACTAAATACTGCTATATGAATGATGTGACCGTCTATGTTTTACGGTGGCTGAGAGCTGCAATCGACAATTACAAAGTGTGAGACAAATTTACATTTTATAAAACACTTTTACCAAAGCGATTTAACAAAATGTGAAACACTTTAACAAACTAGAGAATCAAACCGGAAAGGGAATGCCCATCATCCCAGAAGTGACGTGAAGACGCGGGTAGCCCGCCGGTACCCATGGACCTTTATGGTGGTTAAACATGTTTTGTCCGTTCTGCGGAAACCACCTGGGCCAAGTGACACGTGTTCGCTCATCACGATATACTTTCTCGTGCACAAGAGAAAGTTACAGGTTCGCCAAGTAGGAAGTGGAGCTGTGCCTTCTACCTTCATTAGACAGCTAAAGAGCGACTGCTGCTTCGTTACAGCCACACACACACACACACACACACACACACACACACACACACACACACACACACACACACACACACACACACACGCACGCACGCACGCACGCACGCACGCACGCACGCACGCACGCACGCACGCACGCACGCACGCACGCACGCACGCACGCACGCACGCACGCACGCACACACGCACACACACACACACACACACACACACACACACACACACACACACACACACTCACACACACACACACACACACAGCACGCACACACGCACACACACACACACACACACACACACACACACACACACACACACACACACACACACACACTGTTTCCAAAGTGCTGAT